TAAAATTGGGAATATGTTTAAAAATTAATTTGACTTAGAAAATAAGATCATTACTAAGCTGTTTCTTCTAAGTTATTGGATTTTGCCTTGAAAGTATGACCTAAAATAACATAGCATTTCATTCTCAATGGTTCATTTATTCACCCAACTAATACTTTTTAGGTCTACTATGTGCAATGCATTGTATTAGAAGTTGAAGATACAATGCTGAATGAGACAGATATGCTACCTGCTCTTTGGGAGTTTACAATCTTAGAAGCATAGACAGACCATACATAATTAGGAAAATGTAAAAGAAGCTGAGATGAAGAATAAAAGGAATAATCTACTTAAGAATACCTGGCCAGGAAAGAGCTCCCTAAAAATGCAAATTTGAAGCTAGGACCAGAAGGACAAGAAAGAAATAATCATGCAAAGATTGCCTTTGCATGATTACAAGTTTCTGAGAGGCAATGTGAAGATGAACACTCTAAGCTCTAATAGACATGCTTCAGAATGTTTATTATTCAGAGTACCTGATAAGGTTCTCTAGATTCTCATTTATAATAAAAATAGAACAAATATGTAAATACATATTTTTGGTTAAATCAAAGGACAAAAAATTGATCCCAGGAAATTCTATGGACAATTACAAAGTAGTTTCTACTAACTAGTCCCCCCACATTCACCTGTGACAATCAATAACCAATAACTTAGTATCAGCATTATTTCCATCGCTATGCTTTAGTTATCAGAAGTGTTTCTGCTGAATAAACTGCTTCCAAGTCATCACCCTCCCTTTTCCTATCCCTAGATGTCCAGACAATAATGAAGTTATTTAAAAGCCTTCCAGACAAAATTTGGCTTCTTAGTAGACAAGGAAAAGAATCTCTCAATTTTGAGAAAATTAGAAGACTTCACAAGGGAGGCCAGTGCTGTGGCATAGTAGGTTAAGCCTCAGCCTGTGGTTCCAGCATTCGATATGAGCACTGGTTCGAGACCTGGCTTTTCCAATTCCAATCCAGCTCCCTGCTAATGGCCTGGGAAAGCAGTGAAAGATGGCCCAAGTGTTTGGGCCCCTGTTCTCACATGGGAGACACAAAAGAAGCTCCTGGCTCCTGGCTTCAGATGGGCCTAGCTCTGGCAATTATGGCTATCTGAGGAATGAACTAGGGGATGGAAGATTTCTCTCTCTCTCTCTCTCTCTCTCTCTCTGTAACTGTGCCTCTAAAATAAATCTTAAAAAAAAAAAAAAAAGACTTCACAAGGAATTCTATGATAAAATTAAGGCTTAAAGAGAACTATCAATTACCAGTAAACAACAGTGATTATCACTGGACCCTTAGTCTCTAATGATCACAATAATCCTTTAGAAATGTTATTACTCAGATACCATAGATGAGGAAACTCTTCTGAGTTTAATAACAGAAGTGAGAACTTATAATTATTAACAGTAAAAGTTTCAAATGCAAACTCATTGTCTATCACATTTGCCTCCACTATTTTTTTCATCACCCAGTATAATTCACTTTTACCAAAATGAATTATCAACAGGAAGCTGTTATTTAACTGTCCTTACTTTGAAACAGAATCTATATGAAAAATGCATTGGCACTTTCTCATAAAATGGGAACCCATTTTTTAGAAAACATTTGAATCCTTAAAAACTAAGGGTTTTCATCTTTTGGCAATGGCAATGGTAATTTACATGTATACTAATACTTTTAATTTAAAAGATTTATAATTCAATTGCATCATTTATGTGACATGCTAAGTAAAGAAAATATGTTAGGTTTTTTAAAAAGTATTAGAATGTTGACAGTCATCCTAAGTAGATCACAGATCCAAAAACCATGAAACAAAGGTGTAACAAATTCAAATACACTTTTTTTTAATTCTGACCAGTTAAAAAAAGACATAAACAAGGACATAAAATTAATAACATAGAAAGAGCTCCCACAAATCACTAAAACTAACAGAAAACCAAACACAAAAAGCTGTAAAACAATGTAAAAGGCTCTCACTAATAAGAAAATTCAAAACTAAAATCTACAGTGGAATATTTTTCACCAAAATACTTACAAAGAATACCACACACTGAGTTGGCAAGAATGTGGAAAAGAGCCCTTATGACATATCATACATAACTCCTCTATTTAGAAAAGTCTTAAGTAGACATAAATATGGTACTAGTTAAGAAACTTACTTATACATACAGTATCTCTGGAAGAACATATAACATACTGTAGAAGTTATTGCCTCTGGGTAGAGGAAATAAGTAGCTAAGAAATCTTGTACCATATGCATATTTTACATATTGAATGAAGAATTTGTAAACTGACTTTGGAAATTCCTTTTAAAAATGAATTGTTTAAAAAAATGGAACTACTCATCTATGTGTGAAAGATAAACCAGTTGTTACCTTAATGTTTCATGGAAATTTTAACCTATTGTCTTCCTTTATCTGGGGATTAAATTATCCCTTTAACACTTAACAGAAAATCTAAACTGAGGATGAAAGATAATATACACATCTAAAAACACATTCCTTAATATGTGCTACAAAACCACTTTATCTAAAAGACTACGTATGTACATAGTTCAAACTCAACAAATATTTACTGAGTTTACTTTTCTATTGACTTTAGTGGATTTGTTCTCCTCATACTTTTTCACAATACCACACCAAAACAAAAGCAAAAATATAATAATAATAATAATGAACTGCAGGGGACCTCAAAAAGTTCATGAAAACCAGAATTAAAAGATAATTTGGGTTCAAAAAGTTGAAATCCATGAATACTTTTTTCATGATACACATTTTCCATGAACTTTCCAAAGACCTCATGTATGAATAGATTTCAAATGGGGTGAGGATACCAAAATAAACTTCTCTTTTAATTCCATTTTACATGAACTTTTTGAAGTACCTTCATAGAACTTTCAATAGACTATGTTTTTCTTCCAACACATAATTCTTTACTTTCCTACAAAATTGATAAACTGCCTCATTAACATTACCACAGTTCAAAACATCATTGTTTATTAGGTACCTATTATGTGCCAGTCTTAAGGATGTTCAAAATACAAACACCAAAAAAGGGAAAATTATCTTGCCCTCAACAAGTTTACAGTCTTGAAAGACAAAGCTTAAAAATGTTACTCAGTAAAAAGACATGACAAATTTTACTGATATACTAAATTATATAGATCACAAATGCTACCAGAATTCATATAACTATTTTAAAAAGGAATTACTGAACAGGAATCTATTGAATTATAAAAATGTTTCCAAAATTATAGCATCTCATTCACTTGTACAACCTATTACTTGATGCTCATAGAAGACTTCCTATGTGGATGTTCATCAGGACTTTGAAAAAATTACTGACAATTAAGTATAAGTAATTTCCCCAACTACTCAGGCTACTAAGGAGATAGCTTACTGCAGGAGTCACAGTCTGCTTTGATTGCTCTCCTCTCTCATTAAAATTATCTCACACATGAACCTCTTAATATACACGTATTTATTTACAAATTATATGTATCTCACAATAGCCAATCCATGTATGAAATATTAATAAAATTTATTTCTTTTTCAAATAAAAGAATGTAAGCTTTAATATTTTTCCTGTATTACAATGTATCATCTTGTGATGGCCTTGTGTATGAACATCTCACTTTGTATTAATGCTTAACATGAATACTGAAACACAGAGTTCATGCAAAAATATTTTTATCTAACAGTTTCAATCTCTGCACACATCAAACTTAATTTTTAACTCAGTTGTTAAGAGACAACAGAGATGATTTTTAGTTTCAGGTTTGTTTCTCTCTACCCATGACCTTCTCTCAAGAATTGATAATAACATGCAATTAGATGGACATCACTAAATTGAAACAAAGAATAGTATAGTCATAATCAGACAAATGAACCCTAAAACTTTATGATTTAATCATTGAAAAATGATAGTAATATTTTATTATATATTATGCTTTTATTTAATATCCATTACTAATATGTGATTAACATGTCAAATTCTTCAAAATGATTTGTCTCTCATTTCTATAATTCCACTATAAACTTCATTCTTGTCTTCATTTTCCTTGCCTGCTCTTATTTTATTATATAAACATTTCAAGTAAATTTTCAAATACTATATTCTAACCTCCAAGTAACTTTTTGTTAATAAATATAAATATAATTCTGCAGCCATGTAGGCCATTTTGAGGTGAGGCTCCTTCCCAAGACTCAGGTAGAAAAATGCAAATAATTAAATAAATCTGAATATATGCTTTCATGGATATAATTTCATAGATTGTATAAATATACACTTAGAAAATGTTTCCACCTAAACTATGGAGATATGAAGGCACAAACATTATTTATATTTGCATAGATAAGTAGTTTGCATATGGATGTAAAATATATACATGTAGCTACCTGAAAAAGCCTTTTACAACACTCTCCCAACAAAATATTTTGTGCACTTTGAGCAATCCTAATTCAAAACTCAAAGTTCAACTGAATTTTTATATATTAAAATGATAAACAGACATAACTATAGTGAAGTGGCCAATAAACACTATCACTTAGCATACTATTTTTTAAAAAAAGACATTTTACATATAAATATATTGGTAAAAGTAATACATCTATATTTTGTTCTAGCATGATTTTGAGAACATATTCTATAATTACTGTAAAAATTATTAATTCATATATATAAATATCAAAAGGTTAGCACTGTTAACATACATAATGAAGTTAGACAAAGTGAGGCATATACTGAAAAAGCTTTTAAAAAATAATGCCTTATTGTTCCATTAACTGAAATAAACTATGTAAATCAACTGTTTTAATTTCACAGGCCCATAATAAAACACACTCCCAATAAGTATTCAAACTCAGAAGTCAGCTTTGAAGAAGTAATTTTTAATTTCAGTTGCTATGTCAGGAATACACTTGTTCTCTCAGTCCTTCAATATTTTGTGATTAAATAGTACCTTTCTGTAAATTACGGCTATTTGACATGAATTTGGTACTTTAAATTATTTAAAACAGTATTTTCATTAAAATATGAAAACATATTATTCCTTTATACGTGAATTTAAGAACACTGACTCAACTACCTGTTTTTAAAATTTACACGAGTAGAGGTCAGTGCTGCAGTGGCTTCACAGAGAACTCTCCACTTTGAGTTTTGTATTAAATTGGAGAATATAGGAAAAGTATTTGTGATGACATGCAAAAGAACTGCCCCCACCAAATAAATTGCAAGTTGATCTCTTAATGAACAACTAATTTTAAATAAAAAAGGAAAGAAAATTGAACGAGAAAAGTGTAAAAAAGGCTACACATCTTCTGCACAATCCCTTTCACGTAGTAACTAAGAAATCTAATCACCATAAAACATTGAAAAGCAAACCTGAAGAAACCAATCTCTTGGCTAACAGAGCACCCTGTCTGGACAGCTCCCTGGTGCTGAAGTTACACCGCCTCTAACCCGACGCCCGAGTGCTGCCCTCACTCCTCCCACCCTCGGCAAAATCCCGGCTGCCCAAACTGTGAGCACCAAGACTCGCAGCAGAACTTCACAAGGTAGGGAGCATCCCAAGCTACAGTCAGCACAGAAACTGGACTCTCTTCAGCATTAAACAGATTTACTAGTTAGGAAGAGCAGCAGAGTGCAGGGTGTTAGCACCCACCAAGGGGGAGGGGCTGGAAGATGGCGGCGGCCGCACACCCACCCGAGACGCGACCGGGCTCGGGCCCCTGGCCCGCGTCGCCGCCCTCCCGCCCGCGGCGACCCCGGGCAGATCGGCCCTTCCTCGCGCCGGGGCGCCGAGCCGCGCTGCGAAGGGGCCGGACGAGAGCTCCCCGCCGGCGCCCGCCTCCCCCGCCGGCGCGCCGCCGCTCGGGTCCGGCCGGGGAGCACCTGTGCACGGCCATATTGGATTCCTTGCCCCCGTCACTGCCTCCGCGCGGGGGCGGTGGGAAAGGGACAGGGACGCGCCGAGCCTGGGTTCAGCCTCAGCGCTGCCGGGCCCCGGAGCCGAACTGCCCGGCAGGGACGGCCGGAAGGGCGCACGGGGAATATTACACCCGCCGAAGGCTCGCCACCCCACCTCCGCCGGCCTCGGCGCCCTCCCTCCCTGACACACACACCCCCACGCCTGACACCCAGAAAGCAGCCCCGGCCGCAGCCCTCGTGGCCCGGGCGCCGCCGGCGGGAGGGAGGGCGGCGATCCAGGGCGCGCAGGCGGCCGCAGGGCAGCGACCGAGGGGGCGGAGGGCAGGGAGGGAGGCGGGAAGATGGAGCCGGGTCCTTACTTGAGCACGGACTGCTCCTTCTCCTCTTCTTTCTTCTGCCGATCCATGACAGCAAGGATGATTTTCCTCTCCTCCTCTGTGAGGTGGCTGAGGTCGGGCATCTCGGGCTGCGGCGGCGGTTGAGAAGCCGCCGGGGTGGGAGCCGGGCGGCCCCGGGGCCCGACAGGAGCCGACATGTTTGGTGGAGCCGAACCACCCTAGGGAAGCAGGGAGGCGACTCCACTGGCTGCGGCGGCACCTGCTCGGGCGGCTGGGGCAGCCTCCGGCGCTGGGACAAATACATACAAATCAATGGCCTTCAATCCGAGGCGACAGCCCCCCTCCCCCAAGAACGAGAGAAGGGGGAGGGGAGGGCGAGCGCGGGGGGCGGGGGGACTGAGGAGTGCGCTACGGGAAATGTTTCTTCTTCCCGGGGGCGAAGGGCTGGCAAGTGAGCGGCTCAGGGGAGAGGCGAGCTGGAGGCCCCGACGCGGAGTGCGCGAGCGGGGGGAGGGTGGTGGAGTAAGGTGGCGGGGACGGCTAAGGGTGGGGTGACTGGCGGGAGCAGGCGGGAGGGCGGCGCGCGGCCCGGGGCGCAGAGTCCCCGGCCGGGGCGTGGGCGGGGGACGCGCGCCGCCTGGCCCGAGAGAGGGGTGCCCGCGAACCAGCCCCCCGGGGGAGTCCGAGGAACTGGCTCCGAGCGCCGGGAGGCGGCGTCCCGCGGGCCCGAGGGGCGCGGAGGCGGGAGCGACCAGGGCGGTGAGGAAGCAGAGGCGATTTCCCAGAGAAGCAGCTCAGCCGTCCCGCCGGCTGTCGCGTCACGGGGGGCTCCCGCGCGCCGCGGAGGGAAGACCTCCCGGGAGACGACGGGGGACTGCCACGGAGACCCCGACCCGCGCTGCGAGCTAGGCTGCAGAAGCGGGGCTGGAGGCGGGGAGTGCTGGGGCCAGGGCCCCTCGGTTGCCAACGCCCGGATCCCAGCGAGCTCCGACGCTTAGCGGGGTCGGGCGCCGGCCCGTTCGCATCACGCGCGCGCCCGGGGTCCCCCAGCCACCGCTGCTGCCCCTTGGGTCCGTGGAGGCGGCGCAGAGGGCCAGCTCCTTACGCCGCCGCCGCCGCCGCCGCCGCAGCTCAGAGCCGCTGCCCGCGCCGCCTCCGCCCCTCCGCCTCCCAGGCTCTTCCCGCGGGGGCCGCGTCACCTCCCCGCCGCCCAGGCCGGCCGGGGCCCGGCGGGCGGACCGCGGCCACTCCTCCGGAGCGCGACTCCCGGGCTGGGCGGGGGGACAGCCGCTAAGGAGAAATGGACCTGAGTGTGTGGGATGGGGGTGTGGAGAAGGGGAGCGAGGGAGGGGAGCCCGAGGCGTCGGGAGTCTGGGCAAGAGTGAGCGGGCGCCGGTGGGAACGGCCAGGTGTGGCAGGTGGGGGGGGGGAGTGACCGTCGCGAACTGTCAGGGTGGCGGGTCCGGGGACGCAGAGTGACGGGGTGACGCGGGGGCGGAGCTGGGGTGGGAGGAGCGCCCAGGTGTGGGACCCTGAGGTCAGCGAGTGTGGGGGGGGGGCCTGGGAGGGGTCCCCTGGGGGTCGTGAGGGAGAAGAGCGTGGGGGTGGGGGCCCGCGAGGGGTTACCTGAGGGACGGAGGGAGGGACGAGCGAGTGGGGAGCGCAGGTAGGTCGGGGGTGGAGTGAGGCGGCGCTGGAAAGCAGGGCCGGCGGCAGAGAATGCGTGGCGAGGCGCTGAGTGAGAGCGCGGAAGTGAGACCGGGAGAGTTAGGGTTTGTGTGGGAGGGCCGTGAGGGTCGTCGTGAGGCGAAGGACGGGCCGGCGCTGGGGCCCAGGGCCTCTCCCTGTTTGGCCTTGTTTGGCGCCCACTCTGAGGAGAAAGGAGGAGAGCGGGTTCGAGTCCGATTTTCGAAGCACGGAGACTGAGGCGCAGTGAAAGAGGGCGAGAGGTAAAGGAAAAAACGAACTCGTGGAGGAAGGTGGTGGCGGCCGCGGCCTCGGGCTGGGCGTGGGGCCTGCGGTGGGGGCGGGGCGGGGCGCGCACGAGGCCTGGCGGGGGGCGGGGGCCGGCCGGGCTCGCCCGCTCTGCTGCGCGCTCTTGCCGGCGCCCACCGGGACACGGTGGTGGGTGGGTGTGCGTGTGTGTGTGTACGCACCCCTACCCCGCTGTCTGGATTATAGCCGATGAGCAATGTAAAGCCTCTGGGGCGTGTATTAGATTTACCTCGCTGGTGTGTAGTAAGCCCTCTCCCTCCTCCCCCTGTTCCCCAGGTACCAACTGACTAGCTCCCAATTTAAGAGGGCTGGGGACAGACAAAGCAGCCTTGGAAGTCTCTTGTGATTTCTAAGCTTAAATTTCTACTTTTTTTTTTCCTTTCAGGCCTTGTAATTAAAAAAAGAAAAGTTTACCGAAATGCTGTTTTTATTATTACCTTTTCAATAAGAGTCTTATATTCCACATAATTCACTGTTCTTTGGAAACAAACTAAATGAGATCAAATGAATCCTCATTTATTAAATTCTGATTTAGAATTAAATAATTTTTAAAAAAATTTCTAACCTCAATGTTACATGGAAAATATCAAGATCAGCCCACTAGCAAACAGCAGAGCTGGAACTAGAACTAGCTATTTTTCACTCCAAGTTGAAAACGATGGTGATTTTCAACCCAAGCTGCACATTAAAATTACCTGAGCCTCTTTTTGAAAATACTGTCTGGGCCCAACCCTAGATCAAATGAATCCATCTCTGGCAGGCTGTTAGTTTTGGGTATATTTTCTCAGCTTGCCCAAGTGACTAATGTATAGTAAGGGTTGAGAACTACACTATGTGCATTGTAAAATAGATAAGAAAGAGGGGAGAAATTTAAGCTATGAAAAGTAATACAAGCAAAAACAACACTTCTAAAGAGAACTGAGTTTTCACCAAAAAATGAAATGTTTTACTATCCACACTTTTCTTTCATGCAAAGTAAATACACATATCTATGACTTTAACCTAGGAGACCCTGAGTGCTGCTAAAATACACTAAGTTCTCCTTTAAAAGAGACAAGAGTGAAACTAAAAATAAAAGGAATGGGTGGAACACTACTTTATTCAACTATTTCTGAGCGGGAAAATAACAGCACCCCCTACTTCAGCCAACTATCACTTCAGGCAGAACCAGAAGCCAGAATATATACGGCTCTGAGTCTGAAACCTCAAGTTTAATATAGCTTAATTATTTTCAGCATGTAAAATATGAATTTAAAAGTGCTTCTTGGCCTTTCAGCGAAGGTCAAGTGTAAAAGTGGAGGGCCACCTGGACCCCGTGGTGTTTTCTGGCACATAGTTAACATTCTGGGTAATGGTAGCATGCTGGCTCTACTAACTTGCACCACCCTCTTGTCCCCAAGGACTCTAATCTACCTGGAGACACTGCCAGCATTTGAAACAGAATGCCATGAGCTGGTGTCCCTTGGACCTGACTTCTCACAAGATTGAAGCGAGTGGGCTTCATTGACTTAAAGTGGATGTGTTAAAAGTGAATGTGTTCTCCCTATTACAGGGAATGCTTTGGAGTGGAAGTATCTGAAGATCATCTTCCACTGTTATTTATACAACTTTACAAAATAAAATTTGGTCACAGTATTTAGATAACAGCATATATGTATGTATATGTATATGTACTATGTAATTGTGAATGGGCTAATTAGCCTGTTTAGCACATCTCATTGTGTCCTGTATGGCTTTATATTTAACTTGGGTACTATGTCTCTAAGTGTATGAACCTATCTAAAGTTGAAATATTCTTTTTTAACTTTAGAAGTAAGTGAATGTCTTCATTGCTGAATTTTCAAGGTCTTAGCAGGTCACAGACTATACCCAAAATGCAAGTCTTTTCTGTATTTCCTGTAAGCCTTAAGACCCTATGGATCGGGCCAGCACTGTGGCCCCATATGGGCGCGTGTTTGAGACCCGGCTGCTCTACTTTCCCAGCTATGGCCTGGGAAAGCAGTAGAAGATGGCCCAAGTCCTTGGGCCCCTGCATCCGCATGAAGACTGGAAGGAAGTTCCTGGCATTGCAGCCAATGCATTCCAGCCATTGCAGCCAATTGGGGAGTGAACCAATGGGTAGAAGATCTCTTTCTCTCTCTCCTTCTTCTTCATCTTCTTCTTCTTCTTCGTGACTTTCAAATAAATAAATAAATCTTTTCAAAAAAAAAGAGCCTATGGATCTATGTACTTTCATTTTTATATGAGTAAGGACTACTTGTAATCTACCAAAAAATACTAGGAAGTGGAAAAAAACTAAAGTCATAAACTGAAATGATCACAACATTAGAATTTACTAAAAAGACTTAATACTTTTAAGAACTGTGGCTGTCTCACTATGCTTGGAATCATTTCTGCTCTCCTATGGTACATACATTCTTGGATCATTGGTATTTCTACAGTTTCTCCTACCAGGTCTCCCTGCTTTTATCCTTGTGGGGTTTTCCAGTCTTTTCTCAACACAGCATAAACAGCAAGTGTCTTAAAAGATTATTCAGATCACGAAACACTCCAGTGGTCCAAATCTTAGTGGCCTCCCACTTTACTTAAATTCCTTAAATAGCCATGACACTCACATGATCTCTCTGATCTCATCTCCTAGTACTTTCTTTTAAGATTTCCTCCAGTTTCTCCCTTTGCTACAACACTTTACTAAGATACTAATTCCACTAACTCCCTCTTCTTCAAATGTTTACTCAATTGTTCTTTTATTTACTATTCTAGCCTGTTTGACATTCACTCTGTTACTACAATCTGCTTTACCTTACCCTACTTTTTTCCTCCATAATACTTGCTACTATCTGACAAGTGTACTTGTATATTTACACTAAGTTGAATAATGTGGCAGTTTATTATGTTTATCATTAACAACCTGTTTCCCCCTAGGGATATAAGCATAAGGACAAAGCACCTACTTAACTAATTTGTCCCAAGTACCTAGAACAGTATGTGATCCATAGTAAGGTGTTACAACAAATAGTTTTTCAATGAATTTCTGGATAAATGATTCATCATTATTATTGGTTTAAGTTGGGCAGAAAAAAGGAACAAGGCATTCTCAAAAGAATTAACCCTAGGTGTGAAGAAGTTAGATATAAACTCTTTACCAAGCCACACAGGTTCCTTTGGATTCAGTTCCTGCCTACCTCTCTCAAGTTACCTCTAACCCAGCATGTAAACACATCCCTCTTAAGCCATAACACTCTACTTATTGAATGTACAGTATCTTATCTCTATAGCTCTCTATTCCCACAGCTGAGGTCACCTTTTCTGCACCCTCTGTCAATCAGTTAACTTCTTTGTCTTTACCATATGTTCATCCGTCCCTTCTCCTCTCTCCATCTGTTTTCCCCAGGCTCCCTTGCCGTTGTACATACTTTGCTCATACGTAGCACTTGTCATAGTGTGTTTTTGCCATTTATAGCCTTGTCTACTCTTCAACTTGACCATGAATGCTTTAAGAGCAAACAATGTGCCTTGTACACATGTCCCCAAGGCCTATCATAGCATATCATACATTATAGGGGCTTAATAAATGTGTGCTGAATGAATACATGACTAGTCAGAAAATAGTGAGAAAATTACTCTAGCACAAGGGAAGGGAGTCAGGAGTTGAAGCAAGAAGATTAAGCTGGAGAAAGAGGTTTTGGCAAGATTATACTACAACCTTACAGGCTATACTGAAGAAGTCAAACTTAAAATCATTAGACAGGTACTGAAGGTCTTTTTTAGCCAGAAAACTGACATGATCGGCTTTGATTTCAGGAGGATATCCTGCCTTCAGCTAATTATCCATATATAAAACACCTGCTAATAGAATTACTCAAAGGACACAGATGCACAGTGGTTTAGACTTGGAGACAAAATAGCAGAATCTTTTTACTTCCTGTTTTCAGAATTTATTTTTGTAGCTGTTTTGCTCAGAAGATTATAACAGCATGATAATGAGGCCAAGGTCATGGTTTAAATCCCTGAGTGAGTCAGTCAGTGCAGTGTCCACAGCTGACAGTCTCTGCCAGTTGTCAGATGATAACATGTTATTTCTTGACCAGGAATTGGGTGGGAAAATGTGACTGGTTCATCTAAAGTTAATCAGCAGTGCTGGAGAAGTAAGTCAAAGTGCATGACTATTGGTTATAGGATCTTAATGTCATTTTAAATTGAAATAATAATATTATCTTAGTGATGACCAAAGTGCACAGCATCAGAGGAAGAATACATTGTTTGTTCCAGGAAAAGAAGCTAGAAATTAATACAGTTTAACTATTAAGATTTGATGCTAAGAAGTAATGAAAATTTTCGTGGATGCTAGTATAGATAAGCTTTATTAATTACTTCTTTGTGTATTTAATAATATAGAAGGCTATTTATTAATTGTTATGTTCATAAAACCCATAAAGCTACAAATATTAAAGGGACCCATAAAGTTGTTTCTATTTTTGTCCCCTCCTGGCAATCAATAAACACATCTGTATAGTGAAATAGGATAATGTGAGAGTTGGGATGTTACTATTATTTAATTAAGTACAACTTTGACAACTTAGAGAAGGAAAAGAAAAAGGTGAGTTTTATGATAAATAGGAGAAACAAATTCAAAACATTTAATGAACAACTGGATCTAGGGGCTAAATATTGATGAAGTAGCAACAGCTGATAATATCATAAAAATAATCAACCAGGGGCCAGCGCTGTGGCATAGCGGGCAGAGCCACCGCCTGAGGTGCTGGTATCCCATATGGGCACCAGTTCAAGTCTGGGCTGCTCCACTTCCAATCCAGCTCTCTGCTATAGCCTGGGAAGGCAGCAGAAGATGGCCCAAGTCCTTGGGCTCCCACACCTGCATAGGAGACCAGGAGGAAGCTCCTGGCTCCTGGCTTCGGATTGGCTCAGCTCCAGTCATTGCAACCATTAGGGTAGTGAACCAGAGAATAGAAGTTCTCTCTCTCTCTCTCTCTCTCTCTCTCTCTCTCTCCCCTCCCCCGTAACCCTGCCTTTCAAATAAAATAAATAAATCTTTTTAAAAAATCAACTAGGCATTATGTGCTTCTTGATGAAAGAACACACCACTCAGTTTTTACTACTTTCTCACACCCATCCTGTGAAAAATTAGAAACATTCTATTTTACAGATTAAAAGCAGCCAAGAGAGAGATTTGACCAAACAGAGTGAATTTCAACAGTAATGTTTAAATCTAGGTCTCCTAGCTTCCTGTCCAGTATTCATTATACCACGCACATTTGTATAATGGGGTAGTATGTATACATTGTGTTTTCCTGACTAAAATCTATGCACACTTTATTATAGTGCCTGGCATATAACAGGCATCAAAAAATAATTCTTTTTAACCCAACATACTCCTTAATAACTGTGATACTTAAAATGTATGTATGGTTAAGGAGACCATATGCTCCGGTTTGCCTGATATGCCCAGAAACTCAGGATGGTCCTTGTTTAACGTATTGTTCAGATATGATTTCTAGTTGCAACTCCTTTCACTCCCAGTTTGTGCCTCAGGTTACATGGTCCAGATAAATTTAGTGTAACATGAATTGGACTCAGGAGCACAATATGTAATGGATATAGAAGATCCTTAAAAATTCAAATAATGTTCCTAAAGTGAAGGTCTCTGTCAAAACTATCCTACAATTGCAATACTATATGTGAGGCACTTAATAAATGTTGATTGAAATGAAGTTTGTGAATTCTACACCAGAAAAGAATAAATCATTCATTCTCTCCTAGAACAAACATTATTTTTACCCAGTTAGAATCCAGAAATAACAAATAGGAATACCAAACCCATCTTCTAATGAAAATTCATGGCAGAAATCTATCAAACTGCCAGTGGATTTGTAAAATAAGCAGTGTTATTGATACAGAAGTCATCAACATGGGCCTCAAATATGGTACAAGAAGATAAAGTCAGCAAACTTCCTAACAGGAAAAGGAGATAATAGCTGCTTATTTTAAAAGCACGTAAAAACTGATTATAGAAGTTTTGGTCAAATTCTACGAAATTTGGAATAGCCTGCAATATAAGATTTTCCACAAAATTGTGGCTTTCAGAGACAAAGGGCATGGTAAGATTTGAATCGACTTGTCCCCTCCTAAACTCAAGTTGAAATTTAAACCTCATTTTGAGATATTAATGTGACATTTAAGAGGTGATTAAGGCTCTACCTTCACCAACAGGATAACCCATTCGTCTAATGGATGAATGGGTTAATTTGTCTGTGGAGCTGTTGCTATGTCATGGTGGGTTAAGCCACCAGCTTCCCAGATAGGTACCAGTTTGATTCCTGGCTGCTCCACTTCCGATCCAGCTCCCTGCTAATGCATCTGGGAAACATCTTAGAACATGGCCCAAGACCTTGGGCCCCTGCACCTATGTAGGAGACCCGGAAGAAGCCCCTGGCTCCTGGTTTTGGTCTGGCCAAGCTCTGGCCATTGCAGCCATTTGAGGAGTGAACCAGAGGAAGGAAGATTTCTCTCTCTCTCTCTCTCTCTCTCTCTGTCTGTGTGTGTGTGTGGGTGGGTGGGTGGGTGTGTCTGCGTAACTCTTTCAAATAAAATAAATAAATCTTAAAAAAAAAAAAAAGAGGTGGATCTACTATCACTGCCAGTTTAGCTAAATGTCTCCCATACTTTCTCTTGCAGTGTGATGCCTTCACCAGCCCTAAGGGCTCTGCCCACAAGACGGCCATCAGCAGAAGAAACTCTTAGACCCTGGGCCTCCACAACCATGAGCCAAAAATAAAACTTTTCTTTATAACTTGCCCCAGTCTGTGTTATTGTGTTATTAATAAGCAACAGAAAATGAAGGAAGACGGGGTTGGCTTATCTTCCACAATGTGATCAGCTGCTGTATACTTAAATGCCTCCCTCTGGGTATGAGGATTGCTTTAGTCTTATCTAGATGGTGCCTGATCCAGCTGCTTTCCTCTGTGTCCTTTACTCTGCCCGGCACTGTGAAATTCAAGAAACCTCATCCTAGATCTGATGAAAGGAGATGCAGAGCTTACTATCAGCTGTGTACTGATGGTACTGCATCCCTAATTACTTCACTATCTTTCTGATTAGCGTCATATAACACTAAACAGAAAGGAAGATAGAAAAGAGCCCTGTCATTTCCCATAAGGGAAAGGTGAAGAAAAGATGAACAGAAAATCAAGAATAACCCATTTATTAGTCTTTATCTTACTGGTTGAGGAAAATTTAGTTCATCCCAATACTAGAGAAATAGAAATATGTATATCATGTTTATTTGCTGCATTTTTGTATTTGAAAGGCAGAAGAGCAGAGAGAATGAGAGAGACAGATGGGACGAGATCTTCCATTAGCTGATTCACTCTCCAAATGGCTGCAACAGCCAGGCTGGGTCAGGCTGAAGCCAGGAGCCTAGGACTCAATCTGGTGTCCCCAAGTGCATGCAAGGACTCAAGTTCTTGAGCTGTCATCTGCTGCCTCCCAGGGTGTGCCTTAGCAGGAAGCTAGATAGAAGCAGAGAAGCAGAACTCAAAGTAGGCACTCCAATATGGGATGCAGAAATCCCAATTAGTGACTTAACCCATGGGCCACACACCCACCCCTAGGTGCATATTCTATAGAGTGCTTAGTATCTACTAAGAAAATTTTGGAAAAGACATTCAACTTTCTACCCTTCAAATTTCCTCTTGTAAAATGAAAGTCTTCTCCAAGATGATAAGTAAGATGATTTCTACCTTTCTTTTTGTTTAAAAGATTTAATTTATTTCCCGAGAGTCTGTTTTTAATGAGCTCCAAACAATGCCTATAATGCTGGCCCTGGAGCACAATTTGAGTGGGAAGTATATTCTATAGCAGGGAAGTGGTATGGTGAGATTGTTACTAGAAAAAGTCACTCTGTGAACAGGTAGTAAGTGCAAAGGAAAGACACAAAAGTGTGGTGATAGAAAACTTGGGAAACTACTAAACTAATACAGGTCAAACAGGACCAGAATAGAAGTTATGGGGACAGAAAGGAAACAATATCTTTAACATCATTCAAGATATAGGATGGGGGCCGGCACTGTGGCGTAGGGGGCAAAGCCGCCACCTGCAGTGCCAGCATCCCATATGGGCACCAGTTCGAGTCCCTACTGCTCCATTTCTGATCCAGCTCTCTGCTATGGCCTGGAAAAGTAAGTTCTTGGGCCCCTGCAGCCACGTGGGAGACCCAGAAGAAGCTCCTGGCTCCCAGCTTCAGATTGGCACAGCTCCAGCAATTGCAGCCAGTTGGGGAGTGAACCATCAGATGGAAGACCTCTCTCTCTCTCTCTCTCTCTCTCTCTCTCTCTGCCTCTCCTCTTTCTGTGTAACTCTGAATTTCAAATAAATAAATAAATCTTTAAAAATAAAGATGTAAGATGAGGGGCAGCATTGTGGCATAACAGGTAAAGCCACTGCCTGCATTGTCAGCATCCCATATTGGCAACAGTTCCAGTCCTGGCTGCTCCACTTCTGCTCCAGCTCCCTGCTATGGTCTGGGAAACCAGTAGAAGATGGCCCAAGTGCTTGGGACCCTGCACCTATGTGGGAGACCTGGAAGAAGCTCCTGGCTCCTGGCATCAGATCGGCACAGCTCCTGCCACTGCAGCCATTTGGGGAATGAACCAGCAGATGGAAAATTTCTTCTCTCTCTCTCTCTCTCTCTCTGCCTCTCTTTAACTCTTCTTTTCAAATAAGTTAATTAATTTTAAAAATGTTTAAAAAGAAGAATCCAGTAGTTTCACCCAACCTTATTTAAATAAATAAAATCTCATTAAATAAATGTTGAACTGTGTGCCAATAATAAGAAAAGACTATAAAAGTATACTTGTTAGGCTACAGCATTCCTTTTCCAATTTTTCTACTGAACCCTGTAACATTATAAGATTGATCTACTGCTACTGCTGTGTTGTCAGTTGCACTAGCCACAGCCACTCTTGCTACATGTAGCTATTTAAATTTATATTAACTTACATTAATTAAGGTTAAGTAGCATTAAATACTCAGTCTCCAAGTTACAGTAGTTACATTTCAAGTGCTCAGTAGCTACATATGGTTGAGAACCACCATTTTGCACATCGTTGATTTAGAGCATTTCTACCTTGAAATAAATTTATATAGGACATTATTGATAGGATCAGTTAGATAGCTAACTGAGGCAGGAAATCAATATCATGAAAAAATTCTATTGCCTTTATTTTTTCTTTCTTATAAAATTTGTACTTTTCTTTCTATAAGCTATTTCAAGATTTTTAATGCCACAATCAATAAATTGAGAAACAGAAACATTTTTAAGCCATCCATATTGAAGGTGAATTTGGCAAACTCAATAACATCATTTTCCTTTGAGAAAACAATATCAAGGTTTGGAAGTCCCAGAAGACCTTAACAACCCCAAGGAAATGCACACATTTATAAGTAAGTCTCTGAGAATGATAACAGACACATTGCTTGCATGTGAGTAATAGATAAATAGGCTTAATTTCAAAGGTTCTGCAACTGCCATGAGTCGTTCAGTCAAGAAAGAACCAAGTACAGGTGTAGTCCAGTCCCGGTTTCTCTCCAAAACCATATTTTGCTTACAAGTAGAGAAACTTCTATCTCTGAGGATACTTTCTGTAACGTGTAAAGGAAAATTCAATTTCTTTTTTTTTTTTTTTTTTTTTTTTGACAGGCAGAGTGGACAGTGAGAGAGAGAGACAGAGAGAAAGGTCTTCCTTTGCCGTTGGTTCACCCTCCAATGGCCGCCACGGCAGGCGCGCTGTGGCCAGCGCACCGCGCTGATCCGATGGCAGGAGCCAGGAGCCAGGTGCTTTTCCTGGTCTCCCATGGGGTGCAGGGACCCAAGCACTTGGGCCATCCTCCACTGCACTCCCTGGCCACAGCAGAGGCCTGGCCTGGAAGAGGGGCAACCGGGACAGAATCCGGCGCCCCGACCGGGACTAGAACCCGGTGTGCCGGCGCCGCTAGGCGGAGGATTAGCCTAGTGAGCCGCGGCTCCGGCTGGAAAATTCAATTTCAATTGACAAACAGTAGGACAATTTATGGGCTCATGTAACTAGAAAATCCAGAAATAGATAAGTCCATAGTATTGGCTTGAACAATGTCCCTTTCACTGACAAATATGGCTGATAAAAATAATCTGAGCCAGTCTCCTCCCATATCCACTCAACAGAAGTTCTGATCTGTGCACTGATGAGAGCACCTCTCATTCACCCCTGTGGCCACGGCAAGTCATCCTCTGATGACTTAGTCCTGACTAACCTGTACGTATCAGTGTAGCAAGGGAATTCACTGACCCACCAAACCCACATGGTTGTCACATAATAGAGAAGGATGAAACAGAGATTGGGAAATAACCAGAACCCCAACCACAACAGAAAAACAGAATGGCTTGATCTGGTGGTTCTACCTCTGTGTCCATGTAGGTATCTTGCCATGCCTTCCTTTGTACCTTTTCTTGGATCTTAGGCTGCCTTACATCTGGCAGAATGACTAATGGTTCCAGGCTTCACACCTGCACATGAAGACAGAGATTCTTCCCAGCACTCCAAAGAAGAGTTCTGAAGTTCAACTACATCGGGGTATGTCTTTCCCTTTCTATCCCCTACCCCTAGTCTCAACTAAGCAATTCTGTAAACAGTGCAAATGGAATGTGCTAGTAGTTGGAATAAACTAACCATATCTCCTCCTGAAGCTTCAGATGGGATCAGCTCCCCCCACAGTAACTGAGCTTATTAAAGTCTGGATGCTATTAATATTGCAAAAGAGGTAATGAGTGTTGGCTATGGAGCGAATGATGTCCACTGCATCATCCTTAAAGCCCCATAAAAGATGACCTGCTTGACAATGTCAGGTTCTAAAAACACTGCCTTGACTTGCAATGTGCTCTTTTATGTATGCATGTCTAGCCTCCTAATCGATTATAAGTTCCTTGAAGTCGGTCATATGTTATTGAGCAGCATAGAGAAAAGCAGGCAATGAAGGATAAAATGGCTTAACCAAGGTTTCAGCACTATATATTTAGAAAGTGGAACTCAGGGGCTGGTACTGCATGTGGGAGACCCAGAAGAAGCTCCTGGCTCCTGGCTCCTGGCTTTGGCCTGGCCCAGCTCTGGTCATTATGGCCATTTGGGGAGTGAATCAGCAGATGGAAGACCTCTCTCTGTTTCTCCCTCTCTCTGTAACACTATCTCTCAGATCATAGAAAAAGAAAGTAGAACTCAGTGGTTGAAAGAAGTGAGTTGGGTAGAAAAGAGTTAAACACCTCTGAGAAGTGCCCTAAGGAGAGGGAAACAAGTGAAGCAATGGTTCCCTGGGTTCTCTCAAGCAGCCTCCCTCCCTAAAAGAATCCCACAGAATCACATCACTACTTTCAGGAGCAGTCTGAGGCCAATGTGATTTTCTAGTAACTGTTCTTGACAATTACATTTATTCTTCCATATAACTGACAATCACAATTCAAGTTTTTTATTTTTTTAGATCTGTCAAAGTGTTTTCCTTAAAGTGACACCCGGGAAAACATACTCTCTTCATTGCTTTCATAAATGACCTCTTGACCTCTTTGTTGCTTCCCTGGCTATTACAACCCAAGATGCTCTTGCAAAGATGTCGGCAGTCCTTCCACTCTGCAAACGGACATGTTGACAGACCCAACACTTTACAAAATATTTTATTCATGGAAACCACACATCATGTATTTTATTGAAGTGTTATGACTTAAAATGTAAGTATCTGATAAGTCTCTAACAATAAAGGCTTCACAAT